AATTCGTGTTTCTAAAATGTGTCTGATTACCACGACAGGAGACAAAACTTATGCTTTTTGAAAGATTTGGGTTACAATTTAGAACATCCACTATGAGACTCTATGAAAAGGTTCACAAATTCAAAAAACCGGTCCATACATTTTTTATAGCATAATGAAAGATGACATGACATATACCACTCGGTGGCTACACACCACTTTAAGCATTTACTTGTTTCTATTGAAAATAAGTGATCTTGATCTCACATAGAATGAATTTACAGTTTCTAATCTTGCCATTGAAGACCTTGCATGTCATTCTTGCATGACCAAATAATCCAAACAAAAACCAACAAGATGATACTAATGTTGTTTCTCATTTTGCTTGTCTCCTATCCAATCTTTATCAGGTGAACAAGCTCCTTAATTGAATCCGCTGCTGCAGGGAAGTCAGCGCACCAAAGATGAATAGGTCCATCACCTCCTTAGCCAAAGAACACTGCATAAAGAGATGTTTTATGTTTCCTCGATAATATTATAAAAAGGGCAAATAGAATTGGAGAGATTTACTTCGTGCTTTGACAAATTCAGAGTGATGGGCAAATGCCCCAACCGAGCTCTCCACAAGAGCAAATTTGCTTTGTTAGGTAACCACCTCGTTTTGTCAACGTTATTTTGTAACCAAGGAAGGTGTTGTTTGTTTTTTTGAAGCAAAAATTTATGAAGTCTACGGACCATCTCTGCAACCCTCTGCAGTAGAAGAGGTGGACCAAACGCCTGCAGACTATAATAAAAAGCGTGTTTGTTTTTTTAACATCTGCATGTTGCTGTAGGAATTAAAAATTTAAAATAAACTGATTTTATAAACCGAAATAGTTTTTTAATACCGAAAAATTAATAATGTATGACATTTCAGCAAGAATTTATGATATTTCAGCAAGAATTTATGATATTTCAGCAAAAAATAATGATATTTCAACAAAAAATAATAATATTTTAGCAAAAAAATAATGATATTTCATCAAGAAATTATCATTATTCAATATAAAAAATCGAAAAAAAAATGCAACAAGAATAAAAAAACGAAAAAAAAGTAAAATAAGATTTCAGCAACATATAATCAAGATTTCAACAAGAAAAAAAAAGGTTGGAAGAGGCAATACAAGTGTTGCGCCAAACAGAACAAGCGCAGATGTTTTTTAGTCTGAAGACTTCTAAAAAAACAGCTGCGTGATTAAAAGTGTTGTGTGTGTGCTGCGCCACATAACAATAAGAGGCCTGAAAAAGTTTTTTACAAAAAAACAAATAGCACCGAAGTGATTTATTATCTAAGCTATTAAATAAACTAATTTGTTTAATAATTAATTAAACTTTTTTTTTAATTTAATTTAATTTGTTTTTTATCTAATCTAATTATTTATTTACTTATATATTGTTAGTTGATAAATAATAAATTTATCATATCAATATATAATTTATTTCCATATATTTTATTGCGTTTAATGTGACCTCATACCCTTAAACATCGTAACAATACATCAAATTGTTAGTATAGTGAATTATATATAAAAACAACCAACAATATCAAATTTATTGTATGATTTTTTTAAGTGTTGCACTACTAAAAAAACTCGTTTTCGACAAAGTTTCCATCTCTAAAAGGGTTACACCGACAAATTTATATTAAATTTACACTCATTAGGACTTCATGACGGATTTCCAATAGATTCGTGACGGATTTCCTAAGGATTTGTGATGGATTTATGGCAGATTTTGACTGGTTTACACTAAATTCACACAAATCTATGTTGTAGTCATGGAAGTCCTCTTTTTGAACAGATTATATTGATAAAAGAACATACTCACGAATAGACATAACATCGAAGGATTTTCATGAGTCAAACAAAATGCATTATTATTAAAGAGTTACATTTTACAGAAAGCTCTTGGAACTATCATTCCAAAGGCACTTACAACTACAGTTTACAACAGCTTAAAGACCAATGCCTCAACTAAAAAGTAAAAACAATAATTTTTTTTTCTCATCAACATTACAAAATGAAACTGCTTCTTCCTCTAATAAAATACCACAAAAAAGAAAGGGCCCCAAAGAACATTCTTTTCTTCATGATGCTTGTAATTTATGCCTTAAGAAGACTCACCCCAAACGTGATATTGACTATCACAAGCCCCAATAATGCAACACTGTTGAATCCCCTGCAATTAGAACATGAAATTCAAAGTGAATACAGATTACAGATCGAAACTTATCTAAATATCATCGAATCATAGTAAAAGTATACAGCAAACAAACAAGGGTTTATCAGTAGAATTCACATACCCAATCGGGAGACGTCCCTTAGGATCACCGGAGGAGTAACCTTTGAAATAGAAAAACCGAGTAACTGTGTAAGCTAATCCCAAACACGAACATATAAGTGGGTGTTTAAACCCTCCCAAAACCATCAAAACAAAGAAGATCGGCAGGGATTCGAGCGAATTCTGATGCCCTCTCTGTAATCAAACAAACAAAACTCAGATTCCTCAAAATCCCATAAACGAATCGAAGAAAAATGATGTATTTTTCACAAATCAGCAAGCGATCTGTACAAACCTGAATACAATTGAAGATTTTGTAATCCTTGGTATCTGCTTCAGTGGCGTAGAGTGCTGGGTATGAAACATTATACCTTCAACATAAAATTTTGTTAAATTTCAAATTAGGGTAATTAGAATCAAAGGGAAAGAGTGTTTGTTTGGAAATATTACTTCTTTCGAGCTCTGCCGACTTGAATCTGCATATACAGATTGACGAAATAGTAGGCAGTGAGAGTGAGAATGATGTAGCCGTACTCTTTCGGCAAAATTTCAACTATTCCGGCCATCTGTTTTCTCCGACGAAGATCTGAAGATGATTAATTGAAAACTGAGTAGGATTCAACACCTTCGTCTTCAGGTTCAGGGTATTTGTAGCTTGCTTTGAGGTGAATTGCTGAAAAGTCCTTATAGTATGGAGAATTTCTAAACTTTCACCTTTAACTTTAAGGGTATGACACGTTAACCCTTTTCATTCTTTTTTGTTGCAATCTCAAATGTCAAAATTAATATCGCTTAACTAAACTAGCAATTTTGAAAGAGCTATATGGATATAAAACTAAAAAAAGCATAATTGTACTTAATATATCATAATACCACTACTAAACATTTTCCCAAAAATTATAGAGATCTTATACATTTATAAAAGCAACAATCTGTTTGAAATGAAATTAAATATATAATGATTCAATTAAAAATATTATGCTTCGACATGTGGTTATTAATGGTACTTACTGAAAAATATGTTTATGATACAAAAAAAGATGTATATCAATAATATCAATAGATAAAAACTTGGTTAACTATAGGAGGTGAAATGCAATACATGGAAAATTGAGTGGTCGAAGACTAGAGTAGTAGCTGGTGTGTGTTGACCTCTTATTTTGGCTTTCTTCCCAAGTTCTCTCGTCGTTCCCACTATTCCCATTATAAATTGATTACGACGTCATGCAATTCGTGGTAATGACCACGACGCATAAATATTATTTTTTGAGTTTTTCGCACATGCGATACAATAATATAATCAGCTAAAATATAAAGTAGAATAAGTTCTGGTATTTGTTTATTAATATTACGGAGACGATAACGGATAATAAAAAGAAGACAAAATTACAAAAATGTCCCTGTGGTTTGTCAAAAGTAACAAACTTAGTCCCTATCTATTTTTTTGAGGCGTTTGGCCCTTGTGGTTTGTAAAAGTTGCATTGGAGGTCCTTTTTCATAGCACCGTCAGTTTGTAGCCGTTTGGGGTCATTAAGTTCAAAAAATATGGGGGTATTTTGGTATTTTCACATTAGCTTCTCCACCCCCTTTAATAAGCCCTAACCACCGTTCAGAAAAATCAAGTTACCATCTCTGAAAAATCGAAGCTCTCCTCTCTTGCAAGAATTGTGATTTGTATGTGTGGAAGTGTTGCTGTGAGAGTACATCTTGGACGAACCTCAACCCAGGAATGCGATTCTGGTCTTGTGCTCGAAACGGTCAAAGCTGTCCATTTCTTGGGTGGGTGGACGATCTGATGTGCCACAGAGCTGTGGAGGTGATTCCTGGCTTGCTAAGGAGACTGAACAATGTTCAAATGATGTTGAGTCAAGCTCGTGCAGATGTTGTGAAGCTCAAGTGGATGCTTATTCTGTCTTGGTTCTTTTTTTTCGTTTATATATGTATGCACTAAGTAGTAGTTGGATTTGGGAGTGTATTTGGTCAATGTATTTTGGATATGTAATGTCGGATGGTGTATAGAACTGGAATGGGATATTACCAGTTGATTTTGGGATGGGATGTCATGTATTAGAATCTTAATGTAATGTATGGTTTTGGTTAATCAATTTAATGGTATTTTGTCTTATGATAATTATAAAGCATTGTTTTTTTTGTCATTGATCAGGAATATTGGAATGGAATGGAAAGAGTTTTGTCCATTTATCAAACATTGGAATGAGAAAAATACAAGATCAAAACACTATAAGTAAACAATGGAATGGAATGAGTTTTGGTCACTTATCAAACAATGGAATGGAATGAGTTTTGGTCATTTATCAAACAATGGAATGAAATGAGTTTTGATCATTATCAAACAATGGAATGTAATGAGTTTTGGTCATTATCAAACAATGGAATGGAATGAGTTTTTGTCATTATCAAACAATGGAATGAAATGAGTTTTTGTCATTTATCAAACAATGGAATGGAATGAGAAACACACAAGATCAAAACATGATAAGTAAGATCATTACAACCAGAAATGTAGCATGACATATGGCTAGTATCAACTTAATTACATCACTAATTTAGGTACTTACAAAAAGATGTAATTATCTAGATTAAACATGTTTTAACAAAAGCATCAATACAAGTTTATAATCTTAAACAAAAGGTAGCCAAATAACTTGATTAGTCATGCTTTCATGTGTATCCAACTTCACTTAGGTCCTACTTGAGGATTTTTTTCCCTTGTCCATCTTCTTTGCTCTTAACCCACCCATTACATCTTCACTTGATCCACCCACTGAACCTTGACTTGTTCCACCAACTACATCTTTACTTGATCGACCCACACCACCTTGACTTGATCCACCCACTGCTCTCTGACTTGACCCCCCTTGCCCCTTACATGTTCTAGAGTTATGTCCTTTGTTATGACACTTGGAACAAGTAACAGTCAAGAATTTCCTAGATAGGTTTGTTGACTGGTTAGTAGGCTCATCTATAGCCCTCTTCCTCTTTTTCTTGGGCCTTCCAACCTACAAAAATATTAAGGAAATCATAAAACTGGATGAATAAGAAACTATGTTAACTAACATTCAACTTACTTGTGTGTGATGTATAGGAGGTATAAGAGTGGTTGGACATCTAGATTTTGGTCACATGCTCCTGCCATTGATTGGATCTATTTTGTTAGAGTACATTGCCATCCATGTTTCTAGATTATAACAAGGATGCACCCAATATTCAGGTTGTTGGGCTTTTTCACCATTTTGAATATGTTCCCATATTGCACAAACTCCATGCCTGCAGACTATCCCTGTTATCTCCCAATACCTACAACTACATGTACCCTCTTTCAAGTTGACCACATACTGATCAAACATCATACCAGTCACTTGATATTTTCCAGAACCACAGAAAAGTGCCCTATATTTGCTTGCAGTTGTTTTGATTGTGTCAAGTATAGTAGTTGCAGTAGGGGTTAATAGACTTTTGCATTTATCAATTTCTTTTTGTACAATGCAATGTCTCTTCATCAAGTACACTCTTATGTACTCTAAACAGGTAATGATAGGCTTGTCCTTGCCATGCTCTAACTTAGAGTTGAATACTTCACACAAATTGTTTAACAGACAATCTGAATGTGCTCTACCTGTGAAATGAGACCTAGCCCAATGAACTGGAGGAATCTTACTTAGCCATTCATGAGCCTCTGCAATGAAATCTTTGAACTCATTCATTGCCCTTTCAAAGTGCCTAATGGTTGTATTTGTATCACACCTCCACAAGTGATCTCTAAACTCTTCTCCCCTCCATTGCAGCTTCAAGTTTTCATGTATATGTCTCAAACACCATCTATGCTCCGCATTTGGAAACACTTTTTCTATTGCAGGTATTATTCCCTACATATAATGTAATTTATAGTTAGTATTGTTACAAGCTTTAAAAGAGACTTATGTTATATGTATTCATACCTTTTGTTTGTCAGATACAAAAGTGAAGTTGCATGATGCATCCAAATCCAAATCATCACCAAGGCATTCCAAGAACCATGTCCATGAACTTGTTGTCTCAGCTTCCACAACTGCATAAGCTAGTGGATATATTCCATTGTTGGAATCAAGACCATCAACTGTTAGAATTTGTCCAGGGTGTGGTCCTTTCAAGAAACATCCATCCAATCCCAATAATTCCCTTTTTCCAGATTTGAACCCCAACTTAAGTGCTCCAAGACAAATGTATATCCTCTTGAAAATACGAGTTTGAACATCAGGATTTGGTTCATTACACACTTCTAGCTTCACTGTTGTATATGAGTTATTGGTTTGTAACTCCAAACAGTAATCTCTCAGCAAATTATATTGGATTTCGTAGTCACCATACAGTTGTTCCTTTGAAATTGATTTAGCCCTAAACACCTTCATTCTTGATATGCTTAATTCCAAATCCATTTGAAGCTCCTCCTGTAAGGCTGTTACTGGGATGCGAGGGTTGGAATCCACTTTTTGGAGAATAGTGCTTGCCAGATATCTAGATGTACATGCATTCACATTTCTACTTTGTAAGCATAAATGCTCATCAATAACTATCTTCACCAACCATTGTTCCTCTTCCGTAGATCTAGATACCTGAATAGAAAAAGGACAAGAATCTTTTTTTGAAATTACAGTTTTGCCTTTCGATGTGACTTTACTTACAGTGGAGGGCCCACCATCAGTGGAATCTGGAACCACCCCTTTACACTTTACTCTTACTCTCAATTTTTCATTTTTGGCCATGCGTAGGGCCCTCCTTGTTTTTATTGAAAGCATCTTCACGTGACCTTGTATATCTTTTTTGGTTTTAAAAGCTTGACCCACAAAAAATGTTGTAACATGAACTACCCCAGAAGAACAAGGCACCTTCTTGTTCAGGTTTTTTAACATTCTCTTCCTTAGGTCTTCCTCATATCCTGCACTTTCAAACTCATCATTGTTGATCACACCTAAATCATCATCTTGGTTTAAATCTAATTCTATGTTTGGACCTTGTCCAAACCATTCAACCTCATCCACACAGCTGTTAAACTCTCTCATATCAACATCCCAGTCATCTAAAATAGCTTCTGGGTCAACAATGTATTCAGAATCATCATCTTCTTCTGTATGCTCTTCTGAATCATCTGCATGCCCTTGTTCATCTTCTTCATCCCGTTCTTCTTCAACTTCAACCTCTCTTTCAAACTCACCCATATTCTGATATCCATCACTACTAAAATGCTCAAAATCATCTAGTATTTCCCTATGATTCTGGCAATTAATATCAACTGTAATTTCTTGCATTGTATTAGTTTCTTTTGGTGCAGGGAAATATGAATCATCCTTAAACTCATTAACCACATCTTGTTTGTTTGGCTCAAAAGGAACTAGGGACATGGAAAAATCATACACACCATCTTCTCCCTGAGCTTGATTAGCTGATTCTTTAAGTGGGACATTCATGTCTAATTTCTTGCTACAAGAACCAATTCCCTTCTTGTTAGGCCTAATCCTATTAAGTTCAGGAGAAGGATCATCATCCAGTTGCTCAATAACAACTTTACTTAGGGACATGAAGTAAGTATGAAGTCTTGTAGAACCATGTTTAATGTACACATTAATCACTCTGTTTTGAGGGACATATTGAGTCATAGATATAACGTCTTGATCATTTCCTAGAGCCTTCAATTCAAAATCTAAGTCTAGATTAGGAATTCTATAATGATAGTACGTTGTGTCATCCGCAGAATACCCTATCTCACGAATCATGTCATTTAGATCATGAACTGAAAAAAGATCAGTGTCAACAAAGTCAAAGAATGCCAACCTTCCCTCAACGTACTTTCTTCCTGGGAACTTTGTAAAAAATCCACCATGATGTATCTTTAAAGTGAAGAAATTGTCGTGACCATCTGAAAAAGAAAAATGATGAGCCTTGAATATACAAACCAAGAAACACCAAACAAAAGATGAAACAACTTACTGTAATCTTTATCAAGGTCGGGTGCAATCATATGAGGACCACATAAATTCCACATATAAAGTACCATTTTTAGTTGATAAAACCTAAAATCGGATGCGAGGGATGAAGGATGAAGATCGTCAAGATGATCAGTTGGCTAAGGTGAAGTGGAGATGAAGGGGGTTTCTTGGACTCTGGTTAATGATGATAGGTTAATGACGTATCGCTGCCTAATACCATCTTAAATGAGCGCCAAACATAAAAAGACGAATATACCCCCAACTTAATGACCCCAAACGGCTACAAACTGACGGTGTTATGAAAAAGGACCTCCAATGCAACTTTTACAAACCACAAGGGCCAAACGCATAAAAAAAATAGATAGGGACTAAGTTTGTTACTTTTGACAAACCACAGGGACCATTTTTGTAATTTTGTCTAAAAAGAAATTATCAGTTTCTACAAGGGTTTTTATTTCATTTTTGGTCACTTAATTTTTTACTTTGTGTTTATTTGGTCGCTTAATTTATTTTAAGTTGTAAAAGATCACCGAACTTTTGGCTTTGTGCTCATTTAGTCACGTAACTTTTGGTTTGGTCACTTAACTTTTGGATTTGTATTCATTTAGTCACTTAACTTTTAAAATTGTGCTTATTACCTAACTTTTAAAATTATGCTTATTTTTATAGTTTTATTTTAAGGTTTAGTGACTAAATGAGCATAATTTTAAAAGTTAGGTGACTAAATGAGCACAAATCCAAAAGTTAAGTGACCAAACCAAAAGTTAGGTAAGTAATGACAAAGCCAAAAGTTCGATGACCTTTTAAAACTTAAAAATAGTTAAATGACCAAATGAACACAAAACCAAAAGTTAAGTGGCCGAAAATGACTTAAATCCTTTATAGAAATAGATATTACAAAGTGACTAACATTTTGAGAAAATGCAAAAATAAATTTTTATTCTTGAAACTGACCTACTTTGGAACTCATTTATGAGTTTCAAACATTCATTTTATGACAAAAAGGTATGTTTGAATTTATTATTTATTTATTTTTTATTTTTTTGAAGTCTATTATGAGAAAAAGCAAGTTCCAAATTTCTAATATGTTAAAACTCTTGTAGTTGTAAACATTCTTAAGTAATACATGTTCCTCCCCCTTTAGTTCTTTAAGTTGTTCATGTTTCAATTTACTTTCTGTTTTGCTTTGTTTATGAGAGTAGCAGGGCCGGTCCAGGCGGATGTTGGGCGGTCCAGGGCCTAAAATGATGAGAAGCCCTAAAATTTTCAACAAATCTAATAGGCAAAATCATAAACATGTAGGCATGAGGATAAATGATGGGAGGAGATAAGATCACGAAGCATATAATCATTGAGCGGAATCATGAAACGGATATCTTGGATATTTAATGTCATTGAGGCAAATCAAAAGAATAATATCTTGGAGCTCTACATGTTAGTTCTTAAACTACATATCGGGAAAGTTATTGTTTTGATTATAATCAAGTAAATTGTTTTCTTAAATATCTTTTAGAAGTGTTAATTTTATCCTACATTTTAGTGCTATATGATTTGTTTTCATAAAATTTCTAAAATACAATTATTAATTGAGTTCGTAAGGTGGTAAATTAGTGATTGCAAAATTCCAGACATATTTCTGGAAGGAGTATGATGGATAAGATTGTAAATGTCAATTGTATGATTTGTATCTAACCAATGTAGATGTTGACATGCTTTAGTGTACATGTAAGATCATATGGAACTTTATTTTTTGAGAAACATGTGAGATTCCTTGCATAATTGATATATATATATATATATATATATATATATATATATATATATATATATATATATGCTACATTTTAGTTAATAATGAAGATATTGGGTACTTATAATATTTAAATTCTATTTTATTGTCATATCTATACATATATTTAGGCATTATTTTAATACATTTATGCTACATTTTAGTTAATAATGAAGATATTGGGTACTTATAATATTTAAATTTTATTTTGTAGCTAACAAGGACATTATTTAAGAAAAGGGATCAGAAGTGACGAATATTGGAACTTGGAAGGGCTGGAGCTTAAACAGGGGCTTAATGGAGCTTAAAAAGGAAGAAAAATCAAGCAAAGACACTCCCCACGGCATGGGAACAGATCACCACACCGTGTTTGTAAGAAAATTTGCGATGTTTGTGCAAAGACAGAACTCACGACGTGAGATTTATAGCTCACAACGTGAGCTTGATCATTCTAGAAGATTTATGCGCGAAATGCAATTTCCTTGTTAGACACAGATTTATACTGATCTCACGACGTGAGACCCTAATTCTCACGACGTGATATACGATTTTAGGAAACTATAGAAACTCATTTGCACATTCGAGTTAAGGAGGTTGGATCTGATTTCCTGGAGTTATAGTCGAATTCAGAAGTCAGAGGAGAGCGAAAAACAAACCTTGGAAGAGAGAACGATTCGAGATTGAAGATTTGAAGATCACACATCACATTCGGTTTGCATTAATTCAATCATGTCGAATTCTTATGATTTTATGTGTTTATTTTCTGCCACGAGTAGCTAATTTAGTAGACTTTCGTTTAGTTAGATGAAACCTAAAACTATGAGTTAGTTTCTTATTTTATGGATTATATGAATTTGGTTTATGCATGTGTTTGATTATCATTACCTATCATGTTAAGGTTTGCATCTTTGTTGTTTTGATTCAAGTTAAGTGTAGTTTATTGACCATTTGAATTATATGAACTTGTTTACCTAGTAGTTTATGATCATTAAATTGCTAGAGTTAGGATTAATCACATTTAGATTAAGTGATAAAGGTAACAACTTTAGTTGTGCTGGAGAACATAATTTGATCATAATTGTGTTTAATTAATTGTCTTAATTGTTTGTGTATGATCATTACATAATAGTTCATGAATTGGTAACCAACTTTATTAATCCATAAATAAGAACTAACCATAGGAAAAAGGTGGATTCAAAACTAAACGAAAGTACTTTTAATATCTTGATAACATCCGTTCTTAGTTAAGTGTTTGTTAGTTTTAAGTTAATCTGAACTTGCAAAATCAGCTTACTCAAACTCGTTTGTGTTGAGCTCGTGTCAGGTCAGCTTGTTGAGTCGTTTTTGGCACCTCTAATACCTATTAGTCCTATAAAATTTATTTGGATTGTAGTATTCATAATACACACCAATGACATCTATAAGAAGAAAAAAATGGATTTGATTTTTATATCAGTCGCCAAGCTTCGTGCATATGAAGTTTCCTTTTTCAAGTATGTATCTAAAGACTGAATCTTAAGTGATCAAGATTTTAAATCAAAGTCATATTCAAAATTCAAACAATTTTAAAAAGCCTTAAAAGTATATTATATGTCATTCAGGTTATGTATAACTGAAAAACTAGATGATTAATGAAAACCTAGCTGTTAACGGGTAAAACATAACGTTTTGTAAAATTAGGTGATAAGTTGGCTAAAATATATAAAATAATATAAAAGGTCATGTAGAAGATTGAGTTTTTTTTAATTAATAAATGATATATTTGAGAGAAAATTAATAAAGCTTAATAAACTCATTGAAATAGTAATTCCGAGTAGCTTTTTGCTAAACTAGCTTATAAAGTATTTTTTTTGTTATCAAACATGGCAACCTAAAAAAGTTCAAAAAATAAGCTAACATATTAGCTAGTTGTGACGTGTGAAACATAGCTCGAATAGAAATTTTTGGCATTTTTATAAATGTCACATGATGTCAAAATTTATTTTGGCATAATATTAGAATACAAAGAAGCTTAAAACATCCATGATGTGTGGCTTAATGAGATAGTTGAATGATGTAGAATGTCTAGTTGACATTGAATGGATAAACTCAACCATAATGAAATGTCATATTGGTCTTTTAAAGAATATGGAGTGTGGGAAAAATAAAATTTTTTATGTTTAAAATAAATGTTTTATCGAACTTTTGTATAGTTAAGTGTATTGTAAGAAAAAAAAAATAGTAGAGTTGTATAAAATTTAGAATAATAATGTGACAATTTATTAAGGGTGCTACTGTACCTATCCCTCAGTCACATATCATTTATATAAATTGTCAAATCATGAGGATAAACATACTATTTCACTCATAAGTGGGGTACACAAAACAATTTTGGGGTATGTATAGAATTTCTCTTTATTAAACAATTTTTGGGGTATGTATATATATATATATGGCTAAATTATTTTGTTTCTTACATTTATTGTGTGCTAGAATGCACCAATAAGAATTTAGTAAATTAAATAATTAATTAATTAAATAAATATAGATATTAAATAATTTCCATAATTATATGTATATTAAATGATATCCATAATTATAATTCTCTTTTTATGGAAACTAATTAAATCTGTCATTAATGTCAGCAATAACATTCTTTCAGAATGAATTCGTATCTAGGTTTTTATATATGAGTTCGTATTTTGTTCCAGGACTCACTCACTTAAAATACAATAAAGTTGCATGGAATATGAAGAACGAGAGTGTATTCTACTAGAATACACTCTCATTCTGCTGGAATACACTCTCATTCTTCTAGATATGAATTCATGCTGAAAGAATATTATTGTTGACATTAATGACGAATTTAATTAGTTTCCATAAAAATGAGTTATAAGTATGGATAGCATTTAAATATACATATAATTAATATTAAATTCGTATTGGTGCATTCTAGCACACAATAGATGTGAGAAACATTTGAACATACATCTATATATATATATATACTTTAATCTATGCTTTATGTACTATAAATTTATTACTTTAGATTAAAACGTAATATACTCTTAAATGTTGTTTATTTTGAATATGTAGGTTTTATATCTCAAATGAACGTTACATTAATATGATGCAACAATAACATCTACCAATATGATCAAGGTGCTTACAAATTGATTCAAAATATACTATGTTATACAATACAAAAATTACAACTATATACATTACGTGGGGTAAAAAAATGGTTAAATTTTATGATAAATAATTGTAATACTTAATTTATATGGTTTTGTGTCTTTTATGTAGTCTTTAAGAGCTAACTTTGTTATTTTTTATTACAAATAATATTAAAACTTTGGTGACCGAGTACCCGGAACCGGAACCAGTCCCGGCGGTTCCGGTTCCGGTTCCAAAACCTTAAGAACCGATGTAACCGGTTCCGGTTCCGTGTAATTTGGCCGCGTACCCGCTTATGTTCACCCCTACTTAACATAGTTCGGTTTAATATAATACTTACAAAGAATATATGATATTATTGAAAAAAAACATTATAATTTTGTGTGTTGTTGGTGAGTCTTACGTCCCTCCTGCATAAAGAAAATGAAAACCAGTCAATAAGTTAATTCTCCAAAATGCCCTTCCTCCTCGAACATGAAATTCAAATTAAAAAATTAAATACTTACCAAACATAATCCACATGATGGTGATGATGATGACCTTGCTTCTTCTCTCAAACTCATTGCAGAAATTCCATTTGATAAGAATCCATTCTCATCACCTTTGACCACATCTTTGAAACCTCTAAATTCCTTTCAAAATTATAAAAAACAAAAACAAAAAAAAAACAAAAATATAAAATTCTAACTTTAAGACTTTTACCTTACACCCAACAAAAAGCATAAAGTAAATGACATTTTTGGTCCTAGATAAAGCTAACTTTTTTGAATATTTATCCCAAAAAGTTTTCGATTACAAGTTTGATCCTTATTTGATGTTTATATAACATTTTTGGTCCATGTTCCAAGAAAACGATTATACCTTTCGACAAAATTTGCAAAAATCATCAATCTCATAACAAAAAGTCTTTAGTTCACAAAAATAGTCTCTTTACTTGAAACAAGAACAAAAAAAAAACATTACAAGAACCTCAAATGAAGACCGAAATTGCAAGAGAAAACATTTTTGAACCAAAACTGAAAATATTAGCAATGCTCAGGGACCAAAAATGGAAAAAACACGTACCTTTGGTTGATCACATGAGCCAATCTCTCGTCTTCATTGCCGACATAAAAAAAACCCCGAGCCTTGGCGTTGTTGACTAATCGCCTCCATGTGTTGCTGCTATTCCTCAACGTATCTCCATTTCCCAATATCCACAAACAATGCCTTAACAAATTAACAGATTAAGTCATTTCTTCATACATATATATTTGAACTTCTTTTTTTTGTTTGTAAAGTTTATTGTATATAAACCTTGCTCGTGTTAGAGCCACATTTGCTCTTTGAGGTCTAGCTAGAAAACCAATAGATCCACTCGCAATTCCAGTTACAGTTGAAATGATTATCACATCCTCTTCACACCCTTGAAACCCATCAACAGTTTTAACATTCAAAGAAAACTCACGTTTTCCCGCTTTTATGACTTCATAAATGTCTGAAAGTTTACTTTGTATTGCACAAACTTGAGCTGTGTATGGTGTTATGCAACCCACGCTAATCTTTCTGTTTTTCGCGACACTTTCTGTGAATATAAGTCGATAAAAATGATCAAGACTTAAAGTAGTTTAAAGGAAATAGAAGTAAGAAGATGTTACCTTCATGAAGCTTTGTAATCAACTCAACAACCACAGCTACTTCCTCCATGTTTTTCCCACTGTTAGTTTTATCAAATTCGACTTTCCCTTGGGTTAAATGAATGAAGGAGTATGGTCCAAACATGTCTCCTTTAAGAAACTGCTTGTTGTAATTTGTTTTATCGACATTTGGGCCATTTTTAATCTTGTTCCCATAGAATTCTTGGTTAGGAAACAGGCTTATTTCAGGATGCATTCTGTATTGGATATTAAGTAGGAGTGTCGGATGTTTTAGTGACACCAATCTTTCAAATAAGCTCCTTCCAAACTTCTTTTCCCTACATATCTACAACAATTAATCCACACAAGTAGAGTTTCAGTTAATCAAATGGTGCAAAACTCGATAGCAAAATAAAAGGGGTTAAACTTAAATGCAAGAAATAGCAAGGTGTATTCATTTATTTGGTTATTACTACATCCTACTTTCATTTCTTTATGTTACAACATGGTAATTTGAAATGCCTATTCACTTATAGCAATGTGATCCAAATACAAGTTAATTTACATTGCTATAGTTGTATAGATATTTTAATGTATAATACTACAATTGCATAGATATTTGAAAGTATAATGTCTTCATAAGTGAAAAAGATTGAAAGTACAAGGCTATAAGCTATAACCGACACAGATGAAAGTAATACACTATAATAAATAATTAAATTTACGTATGTTGCTATTTCTTGTATTCAGCCCAATTGAAAAAGAGTTAAATGCTAACAATATAATGTACTTTCATTAATTTTTTATTCCTTGCATATACTAAAAAAGATGGAAAGAATAAATACCGGACTCCCAACCATTGCAGGTAGTTGCATCTCATCCCCAATGAGTATAACATCACGAAGACCCGAAATTTGCAAAGGGATAAAAGATTCACATTCTTTAAGTTGAGCAGCTTCATCAACTACCAATAATTCCACATTTGTCTCAAGAGCATGCAATCTAATTGAGCTCGAGGCTGTGCAAAAGATCAAACATGCATTTTCCAAACAAAAGTTTCCGATTTCTTGATCATTAGGGAAAGAAACGGTTTCACGAAGGACTTGATCAAGAACTTGAAAGAACTCCTTCTTCATCACTACCAACTCATTCATAGGTTCCATGTTTTCTTCAGAAATTTCAACCCCTTGGAGGGTATTTCTTAACAAGGTGATCACTCTCATCATTTTCTTTGCTAGTTGTAATGTTAGACAAGAAGTTGGCATATGTGTGTACATGTTTTTAAGCATAGTTGTCAGTTTTTCTTCAAGAATGTTGAATTTTTCTGTGATATAATCCTCAAAAGATAACTTTTCCTTGATTTTAAGCACTTTTTCGTAAACTATCACCTTCCCATGTACGTCTTTTAAACCATCATCCTCGCAAATCTCCCACTCATCATCATCGCTAGCTTCATCATCCACCTTTCTTTTATCACACAAGTACAATTTGTATTCATCTTGAGGGTATTTCAGTAATTGTACCATCGAATTTGCCTTGCTTCTCCAGCCAAAAGTGGGAGACAAACAACGAGCAAGAACAGATACTCGATTATCAAGAAACACTTGATAGAGTTCTGGAAAACCACCGATTTTCATTCTCTCACCTTTCCCGAATAAAACTATGTCTCCAAATCCATAAGTATAATACTCTAGTGAACCTTTTACAAGACTCATAAAACGTGATGCGACCTCTAACACCGCGTTATTGGTAGGTGCACATGTTAATGTGCGACATTTCATTTTAAATAGAGCGAATAGAAGACAACCAACTGTTTTTGTTTTTCCTGTTCCTGGTGGACCCCATATTAGTTTCACGGTTTCTTGATGATGGCATTCTCTTGCAACAATGCAACTCCATATTGCCTTTTTTTGAGATTGGTTCAGAGTGAAAGTGTTCATGGTGTGTTGTAAGTTTAGTGAAGCAGATTTCTTTGAATCTTGAATGGAGCATAGTGAACATTCTTTGTTACCCTGAAATAATCACTCCATGATCTTAGGGTTTGTTTGGTATGATGGAATGTAATCATAACAATGTAATGGAATGAGAAAGGTAATGTAATAGATCATTATATTCTATTATCATATTTGTTTGGCTTGAAAGTGTGGAATGAACAAACATGTTGATTGTTATGTACAAATATAGTAAAAAAAAACTAAATGAAACTAGATCGATGAATATACAAAAAGTACTTCAATCAAATAAGATATATTGATAAATAAATAGCATTTAAGCATATTTCATATCGTTTGAATCATGTATTATATGTTGTCAAATTGTCTAAAAAGAAGTTTATCACCTTTGAGTCACTTTGGAGTACTTTATTGATGATTTTCATGTTCTCCCCATCCAATTTAGAGTGCAAAGCTTGCCATATATGGATATTAGGTGTCAAATTCACAAGATGAACCACAAACAACATGGGTTTCCCTCTATTGTTAGATACTTTCCCATTAAACACAATGGGTTTTTTGGATCTTACTTGGATCACATCATCCTTGAAGACGCTTTGAACCAAAGCAATGACATAGGGACTTCCATTTGGTTGATTGATATCACCAATGCATCTAGGTTTTCCATTTGTAACAGCTATGAGATCTCCCACCTCGGGCTCATAACACCCTTTTCCACTTTTGCCCTTACTTTCCAAATATATGTTAGGGAATCTTGACATGTTGATGATCCCACGAGTAGAGGCACTAGAGATTGTTCTCATTTTGGACATCAAAGCATGATGTGTTTCCTCAAGTAGTGGCTTGATGAACGACTTGGTGTAATCACTTGTTGATGAAAATCTTTCTTCGATTTCGTTTACCTATTAATAAATTTTACACTATTACAATTACTTTTTTGGCTTAGAGAAAGAAAACTTGTAATTTGATCATAATCTATAAAGCTGTTTTTGATGATGCATATCACACATGACTCAATCACTAACCTTTCCCTTGTAATGATCTTCATTGAGAACAGCATCAAATGACCAAGAAAACACCTCATCAATCAATTCCTTTCCCTTTGTTTTGGGCTTATTAAAGCTACTAGAAGTTGCCATATCACTTATCGATGGAGAAGTTAAAACTCACTTAATTTATTGCTTACTAGAAATGACACCAGATTAAGCCTTCAAGTTTCAAAAGCACTAAAGATATGTATAAATCAGAAAAAGATCATATCGTACGACATAAATGCATAAAGAAATCAAAAGTAGAATGTTGCTATTAAGTAAAGAAGATACCAAGTTGACCTCTAGTCAATGAGAGAAATATAAAATAATATACTTTCCAAAAAAAAGCAACACTTTGTTCCAAACTAACAGTCTCATTTGAATGTTTGATTTAAATACTACGTACACAAATGAAAGGAGATTTATTGCTGTGGAATCTAACCTTGCCTAAGTAAGTTCCTTCATCAGCAAGCTATAATTTACACGTACATGGATCTTTGGTTTCTTCACCTGTCATTTGTTTTTAGGTACATTGCATCCAAAACATATGAATAAAAAATGGCAGGTGTATATAGAACCAGAGAGAAGAAAACAAATTAAAATATTGCTTCTTATTGGCAATTGATTTGTATCAAGAGTCTCGATGTGATTTGTAGTAGAGAACTTTACCTTGTGAACATTAAGAATATTTTATGGTAATCTTTTGACCTTTAGCACGGATGTTGAAAAGCTTAAAGCTGAAAAACTAGTTGTTAGCTGAAAACTAGCTGACAATTGAAAAGCTAGTTGTTAACCGATAAAAAAATGTCAGTTAATCAAACTAGCTGATAAGTTAGCTGAAATATGTAACCGGCATAAAAGGCATGTAGAAGATTAATTTTTCATAGTTAATAAAAGGTAATTTGGAGAATTAAAAAAAAAAAGAAAAAAGAAAAAAAAAAAAAACCTCAACAAGCTAGTTGAAATGCTAGTTTAAATAGCTATTTAAAAAACTAACCTATAAGCTATTTTTTGGTTTGCCAAACATGACAACCTAAAAAAACTAAAAAAAATAAGATAACTTATGAAGTGGTTATGGTGTCCCAAATATAGTCTTACATCCCCAACTAGGGGCGGACGCAGGATCTCCTACTAGGTGTGGCACGGAAAAAAAATCGTCTATAGTGACATATTTTCTTTTATGTAGTTGCATATTTTTTTTAAATAGTGACACAATAGTAGAAAAAAAATCAAATTTTTTTGCAATACGTACAGAAAAACACAGGCGTTGTCGGTGCCACTACTGGCACCCACATAGAACTGCCCCTGTCCCCACCTTGTTCGGGTGTGTGTTGTATACAAAGAAGTTAAGATCACATGAGCTCTTTGATCAAGCCAAAACCACATGATTTTGACTTGTTGATTGTTTGAACTTAAAATAGGAATGTAGAAATTCATCAAATGTGACCAAATGATGTTTTTTCGAACAAAACATGGTAAAAGGGTGTACAACAAAAGTGATCAAATGCGTATACAAAGCATATTTATGCTCTATCAAACGGAGAAGTTGTCCATCAAAATGATTCATCTTAACAAATAACTTACTTTAATGGTAAATCATATTTTAAAAAAAAATGGCAAAATATATACACATAGCATAGTTTTTTTCTATATCAAGTTATTAACCCATCCTTACAAAAGATGTAGTTTTCAAACAAACATGTGATTTGCGTTTACTTTGTCCATAACATTTTTTGTCAATTTCGAATATAGAAGTTGTTTAATGAAAGCTTTTTTTATGTAAAATATGTACCGATTTTGTGCTACAACCTCAGATTTTAACTTAACCCGTTAAGACAGACTTAAATGGTTATGGACACACATGTGAAAAATATTCAAAAACCAAAAAGAGAGGCACAAAACACAACCCAATCATATATTTACAATGCCATTCTTGAAGTTAAGCAATCAAGCCTTGCAATAAAATTTTATATAATAAAAAAACAAACTGATGAACAATTCTTTAAATTGCATAAAAACAGTGATTTTTTTTTACATTATTTACACTTTTCATGTCGAAGAGACATCCACAAATTCACAATTTAAAGAGCCCTCATAGCAACTTTGCTTGTTGCATGAACTCCCCTTGCAGCAATTCTTAACACTGCTCTACTCTGATACAACCTGTTAACAACATTAAACAAAACAAAATAAATAAATAAAAAATATGTTTATAAAAAGTATTTATGAAATTACCAAATTACCCACCCTGCAAGAGCAAGTCCCCAAGTTGCCATCAAATAAAACAGCTGACCAGCATGCCATATTTCCATTACCTTCTCAAACTTGCTCATGCCACCCAATGCCTTGCTCAACTCTGCAAGTTTTATAAATTAAACCATACTTATTAAACATTTCATTTTTTTTTAAATAAAAAATAAAATGAAAACTTACTCTTTTGCATCTCCTCGGGTGTCAGACTCTGCATTTCAAGAAAAGATTAAAAAGGTGTGAAATTGGTTATGTATTGAAACTTTTATGTAAGAAAATTGTAAACAAGAACAAAGTGTTTGGATGTTAAATAATTTATAGTTTTATAGTTTTATTTTATACCTTGGCTTTTGGGTTTAAAAGAATACATTTAGCCATAAAGTTGGCAATTCCATCCACCACCTGTTCATGGCTAATAACTACATAATTCTCATTATCGATTCCACTTTTCTCTTCAACTTTACCATGTACCATTTCTTCAGTGACCCAAATCCATAAACTTGGTTCTTCAGAGCCAACGTTTATTAGAATCTCATCTAGTTGAAGACCCAATTCTGTCAAAAGATAATCCACAAAGTGTAATCAGGTTAAAAGGAATAGTGAAATGGCATAAGAGGATGGATGAATTGTTGAAACATGAAGGGGGAGGGGGGAAATAACCTGTGGTGTCTTCGAGAGAAAACTTGCAGGGTATCCCATCGACTGTGTTGTTATGGAGGGTGTTTAGTTGACTCAAGAACTTTGGAGATTCAACAGTATTTATAATACGAGAATGTAGCTGCAGTTGAATGAGTTATAAGTTTGTGCAATGATCATGTAAATGTTAATGTGGTTACTACAATTTCTCTAAAACTTTGAAAATAAATATCAATTTTGAAGTTTAAACTAGCTCGGTTTGATCTCAAAAGGTATTGAAGGGCTTAATTTGGGGGGAAAAATCCAGTAATCTTAGTAAGCACTTTGAGATCACAACTAATCATAGTTTAAGAAAAAATCACCAATAATCTAACACTATTTGTGGCTCCGATCGAAGAAAAAACAATCAATTTGCATCTATGTGTGTGTGCGTGTGATATGCATGATCTAAATAGCGTATATGGTAATAAATCACATACATCAGGAGGACAGTCTTCCAGTAAGCAAGGCGATTCGGATATGTTCTGAAGGAGTTTGAGATTCTGTTCGAGTAAATCCCTAAGACGTTGATTCTCTGATCTCAAAGCCTCCAATTCCTTTTCTTTTACTTCCAAAGGTTGCTTATTTTCGTTCTTGTCGCCGGGTTTTTCTTGATGTTCGGTCTTGAGGTGGAGGGGATGGTGGTGGGAGAACTCGACCGCTTTAAAAGCAACTTCTGCCACCTCCAACACCGTCTTCGCGGACTCGATCGATATACGGCCCATGAGGTATTGAATTGGAATACTTTCAAGCGTTTATTCTCAGCCCTAATTTGGTTGATTCTGCAGAAAAGGGATGTTTTAGGGCAATGGAAAGTGATGACGATTTGGGGGAGTTTGGATAATCCAATCGGTTGACGCTTCCCAGGGTTAATAAGTTACAAGGCATCCGTCTTACGAAACTTGGAAGCGATTTACATTTTTGCAGGATCAGCCCCTCATCTTTGTTGAATGACATAGGCCGGACAAATATTTGTTCACTCAAATGAATCAATTAGCAACCTACTTATATTTTGTTTCAATCAATATGTTATTTTTAAGTATTAGAACAAGATTATTTTTTAGGGATGGTTCAAATGAAAGACACTAAAGTTTAAATAAAATAAAAAGTAAAGAGACTACTTTTATATTATTATTATGCTACAAATTTTGTATATGTTTAATATTATAGTAATTCTAATGTGAATAATAACATATGATTATTCATATATATGTATTGTTGTATAATGACATAAAGCAGTAGATATAAAATTCATAGCAGAATAATAAAATAAAAATAGTGTATTCACGTATTCACTTTATTTTGTGTCTTCATTTGAACCTATTCCTTATTTTATTTCTGCAATAAATTGAATAATGATCGATATTTTGAAAAATGTTGAGGTGTCTCACATACCTAGATATCTCTTTTTTTTAAAAAAAATCATGATAATTTTGTACATCATCATTTTGGCACCATATAAGTTTGAAGAAGATAGGTAATGATAAAATAATAATAATAATAATAAATTGAGTTATTTGTTAAAAAAAAATCATATCGTAAGCCCATATATCCCATCATAACAAACTTTGTTTTCTCATTTATCAAAATGATCATTTGATACGTGAATATTTGTAACGTCCCATTTTTATACAAAAAAAAAAATTAATTTTTATTAAGGTAAAATTTCCAATTTATTAATCTATTATTTAAGAAAAAACATTTATTCAAAATTACATTATTAATATCAGAGTATCACAGGAAAAACGAAATCTTCAAAGTTGTTGATGAATGTGTACAGTCTCGCCTTTGTCTTCCCGAAATCACTGATGATACCCGAAACAACAAACAATTGGATAAGCATAAAGCTTAATGAGTTTCCCCCAAAATACCACCACATAAACATAATACAAACAACATGCATACATAGCCTTCAGCCTGACTGGAACGCCGAATTGGCCTACAGACTATCTGGAACGCTCATAGAACCTTCAGCATGAATGGAACGCCTCATCGTGCCTTCAGCCCATCCAGACCGTTCCCTGGGCCTTTGGCCTGACTGGTACGCCTCTCAGCCCTGCAGTCTATCCGGGACCACCTAGGTCTTTTGGCCTTCATTCTACACTGGCCCGCCTCAACCCAACCAGCTCCTCCCAAGCCACCGTGTCTACGGCTTACAGCCGGCCCGCACAAGGTATCTTAGA